ATTGAGTTTGTGCTCGAGGAGCAGCTTGTCTGCAATGGAGGTAAGGCTGGTCGCCTGCATGTGTATGTTTGTAGGACATAATGCTCGAAAAAATACTTCATTGAAAAGCTTGCTCTTGTATTGATGTTGGTGTGATTACATCGCTTTATTGAATAAAAGAAATGGACAACATAGATAACATCGAAAGCAGTTCATCTTCAATGGGAGTAAGGGAGGCTCATCGCCTACTTGGAGTCAAGCTGGTAAGCTACAACTCGGACAATGGCCTTCTTGTTGTAGTAAGATGTGAGCTACTGCTGGTAAGTTGAAACTCAAACAATGGCCTTCTTGTTGTGTTAAGATATGAGCTGCTGCTCTGCCTCTTCTATGCTTGGCTGATCAAGATGTTAGACATGTCAGATGGTGACCACGTGAACATGTCGTTGTTGTTCTGGAGGAAGGTGGTCAGCTCCACCTTCTCATCTGGGCTTAGGCGCGAGCCTATCCGCGCTTTTCTGTCTGGCTGGTCAGGATCGAGGGGTACTAACTCAACGTCTTCCTCAGGCTTCCAACTTTCTTTAAGAGAGCCTTCCCGGCGGATTCCCTTGTCTCGATCCTTCTTGTTTGGGTTCTGGCGCGAGCCGATCTGCGCTTCTTTGTCTGGCGGGCCAGGATTAAGGGGTACTAACTCAACGTCATCCTCAGGCTTCCAACCCTTTTCAAGGGAGTCTTCCGAGAAGATTCCCTCGCCTTGATCCTGGCTCCTTAATTGCTATTTTGAGGTAGCAAATCCCCTCCCGTTTGGGCTTGCTTGTCTGCTGGGAGTGTGTCATGCCACGTCAGTAGCCTGCATTAGTGGTGTGAAATGCAACTGTTTGCTCTTCTTGAGCCCTTGGGCTGTGCATCTCCTTGCCATGGCTTGGTCACTGTTGATCTGCCCGGTCCCGCCACCAGGGATGGGGTAGCGGATCTTCTGGTGTAGAGCAGATGTGACGGCTTCGATTTTGTTGATCCATGGTTGGCCCAAGATTCCGTTGTAGGGAGAGACCTCGTCGATGACTATGAAGGTTTGCCAGCAGACCACCGGGGGTGAGTGGATGTCAAGGTCGATCGTTCCCACTGTGATCAATGTGGCCCCATTGAAGCCGGTGAGTGACCTAGCAAGTTTGTTGATCTTGGGCTCCAATCCCATCTGTTTGATAACAGATAGTTGCCGGATGTTGGATGCGCTTCCCTCATCCACATGAACTCGCTCGATCACAGCTTGTTCAATTTGGATGCAGATGACTAGGGCATCATTATGTGGTTGATCAAGCCCGATCAAGTCCTTCTTTTGAAAGCCAATGACGGGTGAATCTTCAATGACTGGATCGCTAGTTAGGACTTGGGAGATGTAAGTCGCCTGCGCGATCTTTCTCTTGCGCTCCTTTTTGGTCAGCTCAGACTCCTGGGAATCAGCTAGAATGGTGTTGATCCGTATGACCTTTTGGGAAGGTTCCTTGGTAGCTGCATCACGATCCTCGATCTGCTGGATGGCCTTCTTTGCGACGAATTCCGTGCAGTGGCCGTCTCTGACCAGCTCCTCGAGGTGCCTTTTCCAAGCACTGCAGTTGTTAGTGTAATGACCATACTCCCCACGGAATGCGCAGTATTTACTCGTGTCCCTCCTAGTGGGGTCTCCCCTCATGGGTGACGGTCTTCTGACCCACGGCTTGTCCTTCACTTGTGCCAGGATCTTGTGGATCAGGATAGTGAACTCAGTGAAGGTTCTTGTTTCCGAGCCTCCCTCTTGGGGTCACGATCTGCGCTTGTCTCGGGCTTTGTGCTCGAACTTGTTGCTTTTTGGCTCGCCTGCCTTGTCGGGTGGTCAGCCTGCTCGTTGGCTTTCTTCGCGGCAATACGGTCATCATCTTAGAGTGCGTAGCGCTCTGCCGTCGTGAAGACTTCTGCCAAGGTTTGGCTCGGAGTTATGACCAGCTCATGGTACAGCTCGTGTTCGGTTGGCAAGCCCTTCTTGAAAGCTGAGGATGCAACTTAGTCATTGCATCCTATGATGTTCGCCTTCTCAGCCTTAAACCGTCTGAGGTAGTCTCGAACAGACTCGTCTGGCTTCTTGCGCAGGTTGAACAAGTGGTCTGCATGCTTTCGAACTGTCTTGTAGGAGGTGTACTCCTTTGCGAAGATGAGGGTGAACTCCTTGAAGTTGCCTATCGACGCGGATGGCAGAGTGTGGAACTAGTCTTGAGCTGCTCCTCTTAAAGTCATCGCAAACACTTTGCACATCAGGGCGTCGTCTGCCTTGTACAGGATCATGGCGCTCTTGAAGTGCCTTAAATGGCTCTTAGGGTCAAAGTCTCCCTTGAACGGAGTGATGGATGGCGTTGTGAACCGCTTTGGTGGCGGAGCTCGTTCCACTTCCTCGGTAAAGGGCGAGCAGTCGACTCGATCAATTTCCTTGCGCAGGGCCTCCTCTGTGCTTCCTTTAAGTTGGAGACCTTGGAGTCGGTCATTCACTAACTTCTCGACATCCTCTGCTCGCAGGGCTGGTGGCTCGGGTCGACGTCTTCGGTGCCTCGAGCGCCGCTGGTTAACTTCCTCCTCTGCCACCAAGGGTCGATCCCCTTGGTTGCTCTGCCCGTGGGGCAGATTAGGAGTTTAAGCTTGTGAGGATTCCTCTGTGGCTTGTCGCCGTGTGTTGGTCCTCGAGCGGGCTGGTGAGCGTCGATCATTATGCTCGTCAAGTGGTTGTTCACGAACTCGAGCTCCTTGCGAACCTAGCCTAGATTGAATACTTCCTTGTGGGCCCAAGCGGGCATGGACATTGGACCATGGGCCTAGCCTCTCGCGTACATTGGCCCTTGGACCTAACCTCGAATGGATCGTCGACCTGCTCAGGGTACGACTTGCAGATGTCCACGTCTCGTCGGCACGATCTCGCTTCTCGTCAAGGGTTAGGGATTTAATCAAATCCCTAATTAAGACAAAAATCAAATAACCTCCTAATTAATTAAGATAACTCCCAATTAGGTTTGGTAACTCCAAATTAGGTCAAATGATTCCCAAATTGATTGGCCTAATTATTTGACCTGGAATGAGATATTTTGCTTCCACAATTATGTTGGTAAGTACAATAAATAAAATCAAATCCACGCAACAGAAGTATCTATAGCAGCTATGTCTATCATCGTCTTAAATAATGATTTCTGCCTCAGTGGTTGTTGGAAGAATTTGGTGTCTAATGTTGTTGTACTTTTCGAAACATTTAAGTACTTTTCGAAACATTTAAGTATAATGGTAATGTTTATGTTCAGATTTTGGGAGTTCGATGGTTTTGGTAACCTTTTGCAAATGCTTGTAGTTGAGAAGCAGGACATTGTTAACAATTAGAGGGTTTACCTGCAAGAAAATACTATGTCGCTCAAGTCAGTGTTGGTTAATGTCATATCCCTTCTCCCTTTGTAGGCCATGGGCTCCAAATCCCATGTTCCTTCTTTCTCTTCATTTTCTATGATAGTCGATATCATGTTGCTCCATTGTACTTTCACTCCCCCCAAATTTAGGCTGTATGGTAAGTGGCTTCTTGGTTCCAGCTTACATTATTTTATGATTCAGAAAAATAAAACCTTGGATTTAATGATTGAAAACTAACGAAAACACAATGAAGCCTATTAATGACACTCAAATGCTAATTAGACATGTCTTTTTTATTTATTTAATACAAGTGATAATCTAAATTATAATGGGGAAGAGGGATTTCTCAAACACACTACGATGTGTAATATGGGTTCAAATTTGACGCCACTAGTATGCAAATCAAAGTCCGTTTTCACTGGTTTAGACCCTGTTGGCACCAATTAGAGACGTCTTGAATGGCTAACTGCTACCAGAGTTTCTGATGCTTTTTTTTTTCGGTCAACTAGAGTTTCTGATGTTAGGACTAGAGACTTATCTAGATCTATCCATTAGAAGGGAGGTCAATGTTGGGGGTTAATGAAGTTTTAGGACATGGTATGAAGTGGAGGATAGGACCAAATTTTGATCGACCAGGACGGTTTTGTGGCCAGCTACTTTTAAATATTTCTTCTGTTTTCTCCGATATACTTTGTTAGCTAGTATTTGTTCCTAGTGTTCAGCATTCATGAATGGTTCAAACGTTGTTTGCATGGGTGGAGTTACCAATAAAACTGCCAAACTCGTACATTTCTACTCTAAGTTATCCACTTGTGCATTCTTTGTAAAAAAAAAACCCTCAAATCATTCAAACATACTGATTGAGACAAAACCTCTCAACCTCAAGAACCACCTAATCTATATAAAGGGATCAATAAACACTCATGTGGGAGTGTACAACTAAAGGAAGCTTGTCCTTCCATGACAACCTTTGGAAGCTGGTAAAACTTGGCAGCATTTTTCTTGGCATCAAGATTAATTCAAAGGTAATTAAATTTTCCAAAACTAGCTCTTAACATGCGTTATGGTTGTGTTTATTTATTTAGGTTTATATTAATTGTGCATCTCTTGCCTTGATCAGCAGAATATATTTGGAAACCATCATGTCAGAAAAATTAAGTACCATATTTGAAGAATCCTCCGCCTCCTCCTCAACCCTCGAAAACTTCCAAGAGGAAGGCGCCCAACAGCTGCATGAGACATATGTGAGCTTTGAGAGCTGCACTGATGGAGAATCAAACTCGGACGTTAATGCATCAAGCCCTCCATTGCCACCAGGCCTTAAACTGAAGACAACAATTAGACTGGGATTGTACTCTAAAGTGAAATTTTGTAACAAAGAAAACACCATCACAAGCGATATAGATCCCGCAGAAACTACACCCAGCAAGAATGACCCTAATTCGTCCCGGAGCTTCAATAAGTCTATTAAATTTTCTCGCTTCAAGTATTTCTTTCGCCCCAATGCCACATCACCGTCGACGACAACATCTGATCATGATCATCATGATATTCATGATGATCAAAATGAGATGCTTGCCTTACTTGAGAGGGTTGCTGCTGCAGAGAATCTTGTGGAAAAGCAGCAACTGGAGATTCATACTCTACGTCAGCAGGCCATGGAAACAAGAAGTACGTTGCAAGAGTTAAAGGCTCAGATGGAACAATTTGTTGAGTCTCAAGCACCAGCTCAGCCAGAGGTCGCAGCTTGTGACCTTGTTGATTTATTGTCGTTTTGATTTGGGAATATTAATTGTCATTACAAAAATGTGGTTCATTTCTTATCTAACAAGGTGTTTTAACTTATTTGATATATTTCTTCACCTCGAGGGTATTCTTGTAATTACACTTTGCACCATGTAGTTTATGCAGAGTTTCAGTTTTTCAATTATTTGAATGAAAACTGCAGATCAGCTCATAGAATGACCAGACTTCATTTATTTGTAGCATAGTTAATAATACACTTATCAAATTATAAACATTTTAGATTTATAACAATCTAAGCACCAACGATGGGGTAAAGTTCAAATCCAACATTACAACTCCCACCCTACAATTAATACGCCCACCTCGTTTTGCATCACAACAATTTGGCAGTTCACTTATACCATATAGTGTTGTGAATTTAGATAACCCACTTAACAATTCCTTAACCTTCTGATTGAATAGTGTTGGATTATCCTCTGCCACTTGGATGTTAGTCATAGAGAACTTGTTTTTGTTATCAATTTGACCAAAGAAGTACTTTAAAAGGCAATTATCATACCAAATTATGGCTCCTTTACTATAAGGGCAGCGCTCAAGAAGCTATTTGCTTGCATCAATCACACAACTATTGCAATTTTTGCTCGAGACATCGCCGCGGCAAAGGGCCATGCCATTCACTTGGTTTTGGGCATGGCCAGTTGAACCAAGGCCAAAGCCAGAAGGAGGAACTTTAGTGTATAGAAGTTTGAACAACAAATTCAAGTTGGCATGAGACATATGTGAGCTTTGAGAGCTGCACTGATGGAGAATCAAACTCGGACGTTAATGCATCAAGCCCTCCATTGCCTCCAGGCCTTAAACTGAACACAACAATTAGACTGGGATTACACTCCAAAGTGAAATTTTATGACAAAGCAGACACCAACACAAGCGATATAGATCTTGCAGAGACTACATCCAGCAAGCATGACCCTAATTCGGCCCGCACCTCCAATAAGTCTCTTAATTTTTCTCGCTTCGCGTCTTTCTTTCGCTCCAATGTCACGTCACCATCGACAATGACATCGATGCTTGCCTTACGTGAGAGGGTTGTTGCCGCAGAGATTCTTGTGGAAAAGCAGCAACTGGAGATTGAGGCTCTACGTCAGGAGGCCATGGAAACAAGACGCATGTTGCAAGAGTTAAGGGCTCAAATGGAACAAATTGTTGAGTCTTAAGCACCAGCTCTGCCACTGCCAGAGGTTGCGGCTTGTGACCTTGTTGATTTGGGAATATTGTATTTTTTTCTTATCCAACCAGATATCTTTAACTTATTTGATATATTTCTTTACCCCAGGGGTATTCTTGTAATTAACTATCTGCATCAAATAACCAGAATAAAAATTGCAGATCAGCTCAAGAGTTCTATGGAAATATATCTAGATCATAGAATGAGATGGTTGGACAAATTAGGCAATAAGCTACCAGCCTTCATTTATTTGTAGCATATATAATAATACACTGATCCAATTACAAATCTTGTATTTATTT